TACATATTAATTACCTAATTTGGATAATTAACCAATTTTAAGCTTTCACACTGAAATATCTAAAGTACTAATTTCCATTTTAATGCAACTTAGTACAAAGATGCTCTAGGACAATGTATAAACCTAATTAGTTTGGGTTAAAAATCTGTTCATATTAATTCCCTAATAAGCATAATAATTCATAATTTTTTGGTTCTAATCACATTTCAATTAAACTTGGAAACATAGATTTTCTGTTACATTGCGCAGACCTCATTAGTTTTACACTCAAATCTGTTCATGTTAATTTTCTGATTTGCATAATTAGTTTTCAGCTAAGTAATTTCAAATTATATTTAATGTGTCTCCAATACTCTCAGCACATGGGAGTTTTTTCTAAGCTTTCTTTGATTAGTCTCTTATTTTTATTTGATGACGACAGGGCAGGTCACTTTATTTTTTTCCCTACTTGCTTTTCTTTTCAGTGAAAATTAATTCCAGTTAATTCCAGCTAAAATAAAGTATTTTACAGTACAATATTTGTTGTTGTCGTCATCATTGTTGTTGTTATTTTTGTCATCGTTAACATTTTTTGTTAATCTTTCCCAAATTTTAAAATTTTATCAACCAATATATAATATCAGTAAATTTCAAGTATGGCATAGTATTGAAATTAAGATAGAAGTCTACTCATAAATATTAAGACCCAGAATTTATTCATTTTGCAATGATTTTACTCCTAGGCAATATAAAGATATATTGAATTACAAAAAGTTGGGAATCCACCAGTCTATTTTTTAAGAAAATGGGACAATAGCTGTACATAATTAAACCAATAAACATTGTCATGTGATTTATGACCAATTTTCTCAAAAAAATGAGTAGGCTTCTACCCATCTTGAATTTTCAAGGTTAATGTTCCGGCAAAGCACTCAGAGAGAGGAATATACGAGCGAAACAACACTGTGCAGGTAGACGAAGGCTTCTACCTTAATATCATCTCACTTCTGAAAAAATTAATCAATTTCACCACTAGGGGGCAGTTGTCAAGACAATGAAACACTCTTCTATGCAGCTGAATCACTACCATAGTTATATGTGTGAACAATTATTGCTCAACTGTAAATTTTACTACATCAGAGATAAGATATTGGCCTTAGATTCAGAAGTATATTTAACCTGATCAATCATAAACAGTGTTGGATAGTGTTAATTAGTGATAATTTATTTTCTGGCGGAAAGCTGCGAGCAGAGAGTTTTATGACTAAACAAGGATAGACAATTGTTTTAAAATTATTTTAGCTTTGAAAATTCATGGGAACAAAAAATTGTTTTTGAACAGACTTTTAAAAACGGACTTGCCATCCCAACATTTTCCAAGGCTCCTACATGAGAATTAAAATATTTGAATTATATTTCTTTTATGTTTTTTGTTAACCAAAGAGACACACACCCCCCTCCTTGTAATACTGACTTCCTTGTGTTGAAATGGAATCTTCCACTCACATTCCCTTGTGCCCAGTATGAAAATGGAATATTCCATTTATAGTGAAGATGAGAGTCCGCAGCAAACAACTTTTTTGTCAACACCTGCTGCAAGTAGTATCCTTAGTTAGCATTTGTCTTGTTGCCAACGGTGATGATGATGATGAAGACAAGGTGATTTTGGTGAAAGATAGCAAAGAATTTGGTATCCATGGTAATATATTATCCGTTGGTAGCATTGGTAAATTGCCTGAATGGGATTCATATGGATACATTATGTATTGTCCATGCATGGGTAAGTCTATGTAATTATAGTGTAATTATCTCTATGTCTTAAACCATATTGTAACTATCCTCAGTAATGATATGTTGTGAGAATTGACTTTTGTATGTCCTTGATAATTAATTTGAAAATACTGTTTCACATTTTAATTATTTTGGTTCTTTAACAAATGAAACAAAATTGCATTATTTTATACTCGTATTTTGTAATTATCAATTTTTTTTTTTAAACAAGTAAGATGTAATTAACTTAATATTGAGGCTGTTTTTTGGCATTCTATCTATTGAAGGGCGGTGGTCATCGCGCTGAGCATGTGCAACATTTGTGTTGATAAACATTGATTTTACCACAATCCAATGTGCTCTTCTAATGGAAATCACAAGTATGAGGTTTGACCTGGGTGCAATTTGTACTAATTACCGCCGATGACTCCTTCGATACTTAACAATCATCTCATACCTTCGAAATGTCTCAGTTTGTACTCGTTGATCTGCGCAACAGTCAAAGCCGCCATCTTTGTTTATATGAGACCCATATATCTCGCACATGCGTGGCGCGACGACTACCACCCTTTAAATAAGGAGTTGGTTGGAAAATCATGAATGTTTGATCCATTTTTGTGTAAAAAGCAGTTTGATGATTATCGATTCATGTTTGAGTTTTATGAAAAAAAAGACAGCATCAAATTAAATTATAAGTCCACAAAATATGGTGATGTGACATTTCTTACACACTAAAAATCAAATATGAATAGTTCATTGTCGAAAACACATCATTTACCAAGAGGAGACTTTGCCTGATGGAGATTATATTTCTTCCTGTACTGCAAAAGTCATGTATTTTGTCAATACATCACACATATGAGAATTCTCCTTGAGTACTGTAAAATTTGTATAAGGAACCGTGGCTTCTACTAAAAAGTTACAAATGTAACAGAGAGGATGTAGCTTCCATTAGAGCATCTACACATATCAGAATTGGTGAATTTTTGGCTCTCAATTGTTCAACAACAAAATTGATGTGATTTCTATTAGGGATGCAGCTTCTAATACAGATATTACAGTAATGGAGATAAAACACATATTTGTTTCCGAGACTAATAAAAGAAAAGAAATACAATAATACCTGGGTGATATTGCAATAGTGTAGCATGTGTTCTTGTGGTAGAAAGGTTCAGGCTTTGATTCCCAAAGTCAATTTCTCACTCAGCAATATAAATATGAGTTTATGTCTCTTGCAAAATATAATTGGTTTTATAGTAGTATCTCTAGACACTGAAGGCTTGTTTTGAATTTGCATTTATCATCCAATTAAGTACTCGATAGCTTTGATGTTAGAATGTAAATGGTTAAAGTTTTGGGTTCTAACCCGACACTTTTTCAATAATTCAAAACTTTCAACCATTTCGTCAACTTTTATTTCAGGTAGATTTGGTAATCAAGCCGAACAATTTCTTGGATCGTTAGCTTTTGCAAAATTGTTGAACAGAACACTGGTTGTACCACCATGGCGACAATATGTAAGTGCATCCACTTTTTTATCGTGATAATAAAATAATAGTTAAGGCGAGAGGGTCGTCACCAGCGCACGTGCGGGAATTGAGTCCCAAGCGATGATAACAACACACGCTAAGAACACAAAGGCTCATGGGTAGACGCTTGTTTGTAAACAATGACACGCTATGGTCACCAGGTGACAACTCCCTCGCTTTAACAAATGTGAAGTCAGTATTTATTGCATAAAAATTGGCATTTACCTGGTAAGCAACTTTCACAGTTCTGACAGAATTAAATGTCATTTTTTTAATATTTTATTATAAACTGTATAATAATTGCCCAATTTAATAATATCCAGTTCAGAAATTTAATTTATGCGAAAAGCTAAAATTTTTTTGGTAGATTTATTGTGACCCAGTTTTCAGAATGTTGGGGAATCCACAATTCACTGAATCAATTTTTTGTTTTGTTTATATCACAGAGGAATGTGCCTTACAGTGATTTTTTTAAATTGGAAGAATTGGAAAAATATCATAAAGTTATACTGATGGAAGATTTTATACAATATCTTGCTCCAAAACATTGGTCGCCAGGGAAACGTCATGGTTACTGTCAAGTATTGAATGATCAAGGATGCCAAATGAAAGAAAGTAATGTGTATTATTTATTTATTTATTCATTCATTCATTCATTCATTCATTCATTCATTCATTCATTCATTAATCCATCCATCCATTCATCCGTCCGTCCGTCCATCCATCCATCCATCCGTCCATCCGTCCATCCATCCGTCCTTCCTGAGTCTGTCTGTCTGTGTGTCCGCCCATCTGTGCGTCAGTCTGTCCAGAGTCATATTTTAGAATCCTGTGGACCCATTCCGTTCATTCTTTGCATGTGCCTAGTACCTTATGTGGAACATATGCACATGCAGTGGTTTAGCGATTCGATTCAAAATGGCTGACTGGCAGCAGTATTTTGGACTTGCTTTGTCAGTTGTCATTCAAACTTGGTACATAGATTATACATGTTAGGATACATGTCCATGACGATTTATTTTGCAATTTGATCAAAGATGGTCGACTGGCAGACATCTTGTTTTTTTTATGTGCGATATCTTAGATGTGCTCTGTCAGTTTTCATTCAAATTTGGCACATACATGTACTTTATACATGTTAGGATGCATGTCCATGACAATTTGTTCCAAAATCTAGTCAAGGATGGCCGATTGACAGCCATCTGACTTTTTGGCCTTACTACTATATTTCCACAATTTATGTACCATTTTCATTCGTATTTGGCACATACATCATACATATCAGTGTGTTTCATAATAAGATCATAGATGGCCGAATAACAGCTGGGGTTTTTTTTGGTCATATTACTACTACACAGAACACGTGTTTGATGTAAATAAACAATCTGTTGTATACGCCACTTGGACTCAAGTTTCAAGGACACACTCGCGACAACCCCTCCGCTTTAATATGACGAGCACAAAGGGAACTTTCAAAAATTTAACGGGGACTGTGTCATTTTCAATGACTTGTTTTCAATGAATCATTCCTTTTGTGAAAATAGGGAAAATTAATTCCAAGCGAAAATAAAGTATTTATTATTTCTTACTATTGAATAATTACTAGCATGACAAAATGCCTTGTGAAGTCATTCATTACCAATGCTATTTATAGACTAATATAGTTGGAGTTAATCATATAATACAACAACATTTATGTCGCATCCCTGTTTTTTATCTGTCAGATAACGCTGGAAGAAGATTTTGGGATGGTTTTGATGTAGATTTTGATGATGATGATGTTGTCTATCATTTAAATACAAATGTTGATATATTAAATAAGAGGTACAAAGATGTCATAAAAGAATGGCACACATTGTAAGTATATATCTACATTGCTGATATTTTAGATTAAAATTTACATAAATTAGTGTCATTATATTTATATTGCTGAATAAACATTACCAGTTAATTTTGTTCAAAATATAAATAAATTTTGCTGATTAATTTTAACAAAAGTAATACTGCAATCAAATATTATTTTTATAAAGCTATTTTTGTTGTAGATTTCCAGCTTCCAACCATCCAGTATTAACATTTAAAGGAGCTCCAGCTTCATTTCCAGTCCAACAAGGAAACCGTCAACTACATCAGTACATCAAATGGAGTGATAATATTATGCAAGAAGCTCATTTGCATATGAATAAATTATTCCATGGTGAAAAATATGTTGGTATACATCTTAGAAATGGAATAGATTGGGTG